GAGTAAAAGGGGAGTGGAGTTTGTAGGAGACAATTAGGTTGCTTAATTGGTTCGTGACTCTCCGAGACTCCTTGCCAAGTTCTGCAGATATCGGCCTGGCAGCTCTCCAAGCTAGATAAGGTCTGTGACTGTAAATCCTCCCTTGAAAGACTTTGCTGGATGTGAATGAGCAGAATTCACAGCAAATTAATAAAAGGGTTTTTTGTCGGGATAAGGAGTCTGCTTCATGCTCTCGGGAAGTCTCGGTCACAACACCTCTCTTGCTTAGAGATCACCGTCTTTTGCCCTCTTCGCCTCTGCCTCCCATTTAGGTTTTGCTACGGGTGTAAAATCGATTGCACAGAAGAAAGAGCTCTGATGGGGAACGCAAACCTCGCTGTCGACTGGGATCCCACCGCACTTCACCTCCGCTACCAGACCTCACAAGAACGGGTAAAGAAACCGAAAACCTTCGGCGTCAATCCTAGGCCTGTTCCTTCTTATGACTGCTGTGGTTAAGTGAATTTTGCCCCGCTTTACGATCTTTCTTGCCACAGTTGCTAAGTGAATCGCTGCAAATCTCATTTTTTTGCCCAGCAGTTCTGTGGGCATGGCTTGCAGGAGTCATGTGACTGGGTGGGCGTGGCCAACTTTTCACTTTTTAAAGCAGTTTTTCCTGCCGATTTGGGCGAATAGGCAGGAAAGAAATGCTTTAAAAAGCAGGGCAGGGGGAGCTTCTGACGAGTGCGTGGCTCACAGCTCAGCCGCGCGAATGTCGGAAGCTTTATTTTTACTACCGGTTCGCAGAACCAGGAACAATTGAACCAGGCCGAACCGGGAGGATTTCACTCTTGCTGCCCCTGTTAAGTTAGTAACATGTTTTTTAACTGAATCAGGCCCCCTTATTGACTTTGTCAGAAGGTCGCAAAAGAAGAGCACACAACTCAGGGACACTGCAACATTCATAAATACAGGTCATCCTCGACTTACAACAGTTCACTTAGTGACTGTTCAAAGTTACAACGGCCCTGAAAAAACTGACTTATGACCATTTTTCACACTTATGACTGTTGCAGGGTCCCCATGGTCACATGATTGACATTTGGATGCTTGAAAACCGGTTCATCTTCATGGCGGCTGCAGTGTCCTGGGGGGGGGGGGTGTCATACGATCCCCCTTTGCAACCTTCTAACAAGCAAACTCAATGGGGAAGCCAGATTCACTTAACGTTACCTAATTGAACAACTCCAGTGATTCACTTAGCAAATATGACAAGAAAAGTCGTAAAATAGGCCCAAACTCACTTAACAAATTTCTCGCTGAGCAACATAATAAATTTTGGGCTCAATTGTGGTTTTTTAAGTACATTCCAGTTGCCAAGCATCTGAATTTTGATCACGTGACCACATGTGACAGTCGTAAGTGTGAAAAACAGTCCTAAGTCACTTTTTTTTTCAGTCCGGTCACTAAACGAATGGTTGTAAGTCAAGGACCTACCCGTATACGTTTCCTTTGTCAACCCAGAGACCACACAGTGGAATGCAATTGCGTCTAATCCTTTATTTACTTACATTAACGGATGAAATCTTGCTACCGTGTTTCCCCCAAAATAAGACTTATTTTCTTTTGACCCCCAAAATAAGTGCTTGGCCTTATTTTTGGGGAAGTCTTATTATTTTTTGAGGTGCAGGAGGCGGTGAGCGTGGTCATTTCATGGCTGCTGCTGTGTTGCACATCACTGGGCCTGCCACTCTTTTTGTGGCGGCCCTTAGCGTGACAGAAGAGGCGCGAGGACTAGGGTTGCGGGAGCGGCCGTTAGATATGGGTGTGTGGGGAACATGGAGCTGTTCCCCCTCCCTCCCCCCCCAGACTTGCCTCTTCACCTTGTATTGTTTGTGGGGCAAGCAACCAGAGGAAATAGTAGAGGCCGGCTGCACCAGCGGTTAAGTATTTCCAGGGAAGGCTTATTTTTTGTGGGGGGGTGGGTTATTTTAGCACCTGCACTCAAAAGCCCAATTGGGCTTATTATCCAGGGAGGTCTTATTTTTGGGGAAAGAGGGTATATAACCTGCTAGGTGTATCCTGAGAGATCCTCTCTCCAACTTTGGCAACTTTATGACTTGTGGACTTCAACACCCAGGCTGAGAATTTCTCAGCCAGCATGGAATTAACATATTTTTCGGATTATAAGACGCACCTGACTATAAGACACACCTAAATTTAGAAGAGGAAAACAACAATAACAACAAAAGATTTTTGGCCTCTATGTGCCCTTTTTTCGGGGCCTTTTTCAGGCCTTTTTTTTCCTACCCATTTTTAAGACACTTTTGGGGCCCGTTTTTGAGGCTTTTTTCGCCCCATTTTTGAGGCTTTTTTCAGCCCATTTTTCAACCTTGTTTTGGGCTGTTTTTTGAAGCTTTTTTGCAGCCCCCTTTTCAGGCTTGTTTTGGGCCATTTCTGAGGCTTTTTTGAGCCGTTTTCGAGGCTTTTTCACGCCCCTTTTTTGTGGGGGGGGGAACGGGCTGAAAAAAGAAAAATGGGCCAAAAAACCTTGAAAATGGGCTGAAAAAAAGCCCCCAAAACAGGCTGAAAAAAGGCCTGAAAAGGGCTGAAAACAGGCTAGGTAGAGGCCAAAAAATGGCCAGCAGGTGGGCGAGGCTTTGGCAAAGTTCGGTCTATAAGATGCACAGAAATGTTCACCTCCTTTTGGGAGACAAAAAAGTGCGTGTTCTACTCCGAAAAATACGGTAAAATCCACAAGTCATAAGTGGCCAAAGTTAGGGATCTCTGAAAGAAGGTTTTCCTCACAAAGGACCTGATGCATTAATGAATTTCTTCCTTGAAAAGGGACCGAGGGATTTAGAGGAAAGGGGAAGGGCGGGGTGTTGCTTTTCCCAAAAGAGGGAAGGAAGCCTTTCCCGAAAGCTCTCTCATATTTCGATTTCTTTCCTGCCTCCAGATAGCAGAGGAGCACCGAAGCGTGGAGCTGAGCCAGCGCGCTCAGGCCGAGCCCATCAACCTGGACAGCTGCTTGCGGGCCTTCACCAGCGAGGAGGAGCTGGGCGAAGATGAAATGTACTATTGTTCCAAGTGCAGCACCCACTGCCTGGCCACCAAGAAGCTAGACCTGTGGAGGCTGCCCCCCATCCTGGTAGGCCAGCAGATCGTCTCTTTTTCTGACTTCAGCCAGGCCAAGCATAGTTTCTGACAAGGACTTTTCCTTTCCTTTCCTTTCCTTTCCTTTCCTATGTATGTATAGATATAGGTATATGTCTGTCTGTCTGTCTGTTTGTCTGTCTGTCTATCATCTATCATCCATCTATCTATCTATCTATCTATCTATCTATCTATCTATCTATCATCTATCTATCTATCTATCTATCT